CGGCTCTCTCAGCGTGAGCACAGCCCTTGCTGAAGTTGCTCCGATGAACGCCTCAAGCAAGCTAGCCTTCAGCGCTTTCCAACTACCTGGTTTTCCTCAAAAGCGAGGAAAAGGGTTGAGGTCACTGAAGAGGTCGGTTGCTGTGCCCGCAGTGGGGAAGGAGCTTTTGCCGTGCCCTGGTACCACACAGAGTGTTTTCCCTTCCCCAGGGACACGGCAGGACTCGGGGGGATGCGGGTGCTTCCCGGGTGCCGGAACCGGGGTCTGGGGTGGGATCCGCCGGGTCTCTGGCCACCCGCCGGGTGAAGGGCGGACTGGCGTGTTCCTGCGATGGGGAGAGAATCAGCAGAATTCAGTTCTTTGATTGCAGCGTGTTTCAAGTGGGGTTTTGTTTGTTTATCGTGGTTTTTGGTTTTGTTTTTACGGTAGCGCTCGTTCATTTTTCCTTTTTGTCTGGTTGCGAAAGCAAACATCATATTGTACCGCTGCATAATGGTGTGTCTTCTTATTCTTCGGGATAGCAACTTTGGTGACTACCAAGTTGTGTGTTGTGCTGGGCTTTACATCTTTTTGGGGTGGCATGAATGGGTTTTAGTTAAGTAGATGATTAGAATTCATGAATGAAGACAAAAAGATGCTTGTTAAGAACAGCGTATAAAATCAGTTTCTGTATTTATTTAGTAGGAAGGTAGTATCTTTGTTACTGTAAACACTTCTCATTAGTATCTTCTTGTGGTTATTTTGTTTAAGATAAAAGGTGTTCACAGATGTGTGCCTTGTCCTTCAGAGTCGTTTGTAACCTCTGTACAGTATGGGGTGGGGAGAGGAAGCAGTTGTTACATGTAACTGTACACAAACGTTTTTCCTTTTTTTTTAGCTAGTTGGAAAATTTGCAGCCTGAGATTAAAAAACTAGCTGAGCGTCTTCGCTATGAAGTTTCTGTTCGTGGAAAGCAAGTGGGTTGGTCCGAAAAAGTGGCCAGGTAAGATGACAATGGTATATACCTTACAAATCCTTTCCAGATTGAGGGGTAGCAGGAGGAAAAGTCCTTACGGAAAGATTCTGCCCTTGCCTGAAGGTTTTCTTACCACTTCTGCGACCTATTTGTGTTTGTTATATTGCCCTTCAGAGTACGTCCGCTGTGAAGCTCTGAGCTTGTGACGGGCTTGTGCTTACCGGCCTAAATCCAGGATTGTTCTTGTGGTCTTTGCTTGTGTCAGAAGTTTCCTTGGCTGTTACAGTATCTAAATACTGCTGGGAACGCGAAGCTCGGGCGGTTGCGGTCCTGTTGGTTTCACAGTGTAGTACCGCACCCCGTCAGCACCGGTGTATCTAAGCTGGGATGCTGAGGATCCCCTAACTGCCTGATCGCCTCCCTGTTGAGCAAGTTGTATCCTAGGTCAGGCAAAAAGCACCAAGAGATGGCATATCAGACAAGTTACTGATAGCTGCAGATGGCAGTTGGGAGTTTTGTTGTGAAAAGGTGCTTATAGCAATAGGGCCAGAAGTTGTGAGGGGAGGGGGTTTGCGAAGGAGAGAGGCGTGCTTGAGCAGGAAAGACTTTCAGGTCTTCTAGAGTTGCCTCTACATAAGGCAATTTGACGTGCACAGCCCGTAGAAGTGTTATTTCCGAATTTGAGAAGTTACTCTATAACAGGTATTGTGAGGGAGCATCGTGTCTTTTTTCTTTCTAAAAGGTTCCATTTTAAGAAGAACCTGCGGAGGATTATTACGGAACTGTACGTTCGAGACAACTGCCATCCCTTCAAAGCCACTTTAGTGGCGTGGGTACAGCTTCCGATGTGGGTTTGCGTGTCCCTTGCTTTGCGCAACTGCAGCGTCGGTGCCGCGGGCCCGGAAGGTGATTAATCTGAACAGATGCGTTCTGATTTGGTTTGGCTTTGACTAACCTGAGGTAGAAAATCACACTTAATTCTGTTTTTTCTTTAAATTATTTGTGTAGTTCAAGAGCAGTTTTCAGCAGGCGGAGCGTTGTGGTTTACGGACCTCACTGCACCAGATTCTACGTGGATTTTGCCAGTTTCGCTCGGGCTCGTGAATCTGCTGATAGTGGAGGTACGTTGGTGGACTACATAGGATGATTGCAAAAGCATAACTCTTTTTTAGGGAGTTGGAAGCCAGTATTACCCGGTTATAAAACCTGCCAATGCAGCGGTAGCTTCAGGTTACAACTGTTTTAAATGCACTGGTCACGACTGAAAAATAACGTTGTTGCTCTTGGGTTTGAACGCGCGGGTGCCTTGTTTAGAGATGACAAATTCTGATGTGACAAGGCTCGGATACTTTATTGGCTTTACTTGAGCCTCAGTAAAATTGAGTCTTGACTCTGAAGTTTCTCTTAGAACGATGTTCTAATGAGCTGCCTGGGCGTTAAGCATCCAAATGCACCCGTGGGGTTTTTTGGTTTGTTCTACCCCACCCCGATTATTTTTGTTACTGCCTTGCGGTGAAAACTAACAATATCATGTGGTGTTTTAATAAATTGGAAAAAATCTGGAACTTTTAAAGATGACTGGGGAGATTAATCAACAGAAACACGAAAAAAGAAACAAGTTTTCATTCCCCATTTTTGGTGTAATTTAATGGAAATATTTTTCTTCTGGATTTTTCTGTTAGGTGTTCTCATCAAACGCTAACTATCTGGATTTTATTTTTAATCTGTCGTCTTCTGTGTCATGTGGACTGAGACTGTTTTAGAGTAGAAAAGTCAGTATGTGACTGCAGACCCGATTCTGCCGTCATTCAGTTAGCCATCAAGCAGTTTCAGTCTGTTTGCTGTTGGCACCCGTTTCTCAGAGGGCTGCGCTTCGGTCCGAGGCGGTGGAACCTCAGATGCGCAAAAGTGACCGTGTACACTTATGTTACCTTGAACTGACTGTTGGGTGCGCCCCTAGGTGGGTACGGTGTTGTCTACAGAGGGCTGAGCACGTGAAACATCAGACGAGTTAAGTGAAAGTTTGTAGCAGTGTGTTAATTGAAATGGAGGATGCAAAATGGAAGTGATGGGTGAACACGAGTGCTGGGTTAGAGGAAACCCCGTTGCTGCCTTTTTTTCCTTTTAGTCATTTCACAAAACTTACTCGTAACTGTGGCTTTCTCCCCTTTCAGATCTTTGCTTCGCCAAAAATGAAAGTTTCCAGATTGCAGAAGTTTGTGACGAATTTCTTTCGAGTGGTGTCAGTAGTAATGATCCCTGTTGCCGCAACGGTCCCCTCTGTGAGTACAGAGTCGTAATGGTGCGTCCCTTAGCCTGTGACTCTGGGATATTCCTAGTGCGTAACGAGCAGCCCGAATGTCCGGTGTGTTTAATAGACCGTACTCTCTAATACAGCATGCACTAAAGCACATAAGGTGGTTTTTCTGTGTACACGTTTAAATTCTTAACCTATTTGGAATATTTTTGTCCAAGAGGGAAGAATCTGCAAACTTAGTTTTTCTAAACATCATTTTTGCAAACTAGGGCTTGGAAGGACGTTCAGAGTGGGTTAGCATCCTTTTTGTCACGCCAAAAATGAGAGGGAAACTTGGTATGAGGACATATAGCCAAAGATTTGCTAAGTGCTTGCTCACTTTAAGAGGCAGTGTAGTTCTTAGATTAGGAAATTTTCCAGTCATCTTAAACCATTTCTCATTTTACCAGGTGTTTGACTTTCAAATATTTTAGCAGTGGTTAGAAGAAAAAAAAAAAAAAGAAAAAAAAAAAGAAAAAAACAGTAGCATCTAGTTCATCAACTCATAGTCTGAAATACAGAAGTTTAAGAAGTGTAAGCAAGTTGAATATGAATTCATTTATGAACTATCGTTAAACTTCAGCGTAGGTGACTCTCTTTGCCAGAAGAGTTGAGAAAGAGTGAACAATCCATTTGAAATGGAAGCCATTATTGTTATTGAGAGGAGTGGTGTTAGGTGAGTCACTTTTCTCGGTAACTGGGAGTCCCCGGTGGTTGTGGTTCGTGAAGAGCTGCCGAAGCGTGTCGTGTTTCCCTCGCCCCCAGGGAGGCTGAACTCGGGATGTGTCTCGTTGCAGTCCATGGCGTTGTACTGGCTGTCCTCGAGCTGCGTGGGACTCTCGCACAACCTGCTGCTGCGCTCTCCGACCTTTCGTCGCCTGTGTCGCATACCAAGGACCAGCTCCGACTCGGCTACTCCTTACAGGGATATTGTGTCTGCGCTGACTGCCAAATACAGTTTTAAGAAATGATGTCGTTTGGACTGTCGGAAGAGCTGTCCCACAAACGTTGCATGGGTAATTCGGTAGTGCTGCGTTATCGAGATGTACTTACTGTAAAATGTTGCAACTGGAATTGTATTTATTTTCCAAATAAAGCATTGACCATCTGGCCGTAAAGAACGATTGTTCGGCACAAAGGTCTGTTTACTGGGAAGTCTTGTTTCAAGGGTTGTTGTTTTGCATTTGGAATAGTCGAGTAACGCAGGTTTGTCTCCTGAATTACCGAAGGAATTGTGCAGGTGGATTTCAAATAAAAGTGTGACTCATCTAGGCTGCCGCCTCGTAGCGAAGCTGATCTCACCTATGGGCTGGGGGACAGCGGGTTTTGGGGTGAGGGAAAGGCTGGAGAGACTGATGCTGCAGTTAATGGTTTGTTTAATTAAGACACTGGTGCAGATTGATCGCTAATCGGGTATAGTTGTTTGAAATTCAGGTGGTTCACGTGACAGTCTTACTAACTGTTCTGAGGCAACTAGCACCTTGAAAATGAATGATGATAAGAAACCACATACTTTGTTCAACTGTATATCAAATCTGTTTTTTAATCTAAGTCCTAAAGGTTAAGTGCAAATATTTTGTGCTTTAAAGGACCCGTGTGCGCTGTTTCTCAGGTAAACATCAGAGTAATGTCATGCAGGCGCTTCCTGTAAGGGTATTTGGATTCACGTTTCACCTTGCTCTGCATACATCTTAAGTCAGCAGACTTACATTGTTGTGAAACTTGTGCTCGATAGCGTCCCTTTGCGCAGAAGTCCACGCAAGTTCGGTCTCGTAAAAGGTTGACTTTTTTTTTTTTTTTTGAGAAGGAGAAATCAGGATAGAGGGCAAAGCATTGCTTGTATTCTTTGTTCTTGGATGGTTGTCATAGTGCAGAGTCAGGATGTTTCATGTTTGAACTGTTAAAGCTAGTGCTCATTAATCTTTAACAACACAAAGTGATTTTTAAAATAACTGGGGTTTGTTTTTTTTTTTTGTCGTTAGAGGAAACTATTTCGCCCTGGGAAAGAAAGAAGCAGGCGGAATACCCGTCAGATGTAGACGGCACAAGCCAGCACTCGCATACCTTTGTTGTGGTGGAAAGAATCTGTGGTCTGTTGGCTTATTTCTGTTGTCAGATTGTTTCCTGTCACCCTGAGCAAAAGAGGAGTTTGAAGGAGTTGATCAAGGTTGGGCAGGGGTGTTTGTTCAGAAGTGGTGTTTGAAACTGAATGTCCCTGATTGTCAGTCCCAATACCGCACTTCAAACTGTCTTTTAGCGCGTGTATTGTCGCTAGGGAGCGATGCGTGATACGTTCTCTCACGCTTGCTTCAGAAGCTTAAAACAAACCATAAAAATTGTATTTTCTTACTACATTTTATTTGCGATTAATATTGCCATACATTTTTTTCAGACTGCGGTCTACCCGTTAGCCAGGACTGAGTGATAGCAGTAGCGATTGGGCTTGGTTTCTCGCTGTGGAATCACAGAGTCAGCTGTTGGCAGGATCAAAGCAGGTCGGTATCCTGATCTGGCAGCGTTTCCTTGGGCAGCCAGGTCCGGGCAGTGCCTGGGGAGGCGACAGTGACATCTCGCCTCCTGCCTCGTCCTGAGCTGCCTGCTTGTAGGAGGGCAGCGACTGTCTTCCAGGCAAAAGCATGGACAGAAGGGCCAGAAGGCGTTAGATTTAATGGGAACTGGCCACAGATAAATGTCTTTAGAGTTAGTGGAAGGGTAAGAAAGGTCTGGAATGTTTTTAAGTTAACAAAAATCTACAAAACTAAACTCAAACTATAGCACTTGCAGGGAAGCGCTCGGGAGATTACTTACTCCACACTTGCGTTTTACTTGTTTCCCACGCTTTCTTCTGAAGTCCCTGTTCCTGGGTGCTGCTAGAGGCAGCGGGAGGATGCGGGACACAATTCGTGACAATTCTGGCACGGAAACCCGGTCCCTCGTGCCACGCTTGTGGCTTTGCAAGTTGGAATTCCTTGTGCTGATTCTGGCCGACTCCGGCGCTCTCTGTGACGGGTTAGTTAGTCCCTTCTGTCTCATCTGCTCCATCAGTTAATCTGTCGGGTAGGAGTGCTCAGTTTGAACGAACCTGTTGTGAAGGTAAGAATTTGGATTTCTTTGGCAATTCGGGGAAAGCAGTCGTACTTCTCATTGAAGAGCCGCTATGAGAGGAATTCTGTTTCTCTTCAGACGTGTCTCAGAGAAGGTACTAGTTTGAGTGAAGTGGATCCCAGAGATAAACTTCACAGGGCTCTGAGGTTTGGTTATCTGCAGGTCCGTAAGTTTCTTGGGAGCAAATAAACTGTACGGTGTATCTTACGTGGGCTGTTCCAGGTACTGCAGTGAGGACATTTTGTCGTACCAAATTTAGCTGTGCTCAGAGTAAGGTTCTAGCTTTTGTTGCGGTTTAGTGTTCTGTATGTGCACAATAAGAGGTGCACCTGTATATTTGGGGGGGGGGGGAGGGAAAAAAGCAGAAATTCTGTGTTTTTTCAGAACTCTGTGGGTTAGATGGAAAATTTGATACGTAAAGTTGACAATTCATACAGTTATTTCCTGAAATACCCTGGCTCTAAAAAGAAGGAAGACTTGTTTTATCGTTACCGAACACGCACGATGGAAGTGTTCCTCCTTGCGTGTTGCTGTTTGCGTAGGCGAATGCTAGAGAATCCAGGCTTTTTCAGCATCTTCTGTTTACTGAGACGTTAACATTGGTGCAATACCACTGCTTTATCTTTGTCAGAAATGTTAGCCATTTTGTATAAGACTTATTTTGTAGATGGCTCTCAAATAGAGGGGCAAGTGAGAAGTGGACAAACAGAACATTTGGGGAGTTTTTTATCTTTTTCACTCCCTTCAGTCCTTGAATACGCTGGTACGTACGGAAGGGAGCGCTGAGAAAAGGACTGCTGAAGGATAGTTACGCACAGTAGTCGTCTTTTCGCTGCCTGGCATAAGGCAGCAGATTGGAATAATTTAAGGATGTGTGTGGATTTGTGGAACAGGTGGAAACAGTGATAATTATGGAACGGGAGTTGTTATTCTCCCAGTAAAAAAAAGCACTGATAGCTTCTGCTAGTATTTGTATTTTTGAATTACGTAGCCATTGTTCAGGCATAATGCAAGTTGGCATGATGCTTCAGCCCTAAATACAGCCCGTAGTCCCTCATCTCTGCTCTAACTCATTTTGTATTGTGCCGATGGGAGAAGGGTCTCAACCTTTCCGTTTATCGCTGGAGTAGACAGCGACTCAGATCCCAAAAATTCCTACATTGGATTAAATTAATGGTATCTGTCAAAATACTCCCTAACAATAAGTTTTCCATAAAATAAAAACAAGCTTCGAATTTATTGTATAGCTTCTGAACTTCAGCCAGTAGATCTTGCTCCACAAATTCTTTAAATGCTTTCAGTACGGTCAGAAGCGCTGGCGTTTCCAAATTGTTTTTCCCGGCATTGCCAAAAAAACACCCAAAAAGCAGAAATAAGTACCATAAACCCCAGGAATCTCTTGAGAACATTAAGCTGACCTTTGAACAGTAACAGAAGAAAGATTTAGGAAAAGGGAGTATTAAATAACAGCCCAGGCACGAGAGGAGATTCATGGATTTCGGCCACAAAACTGTCCGAAAGCTGGAAAACAGTTGGGACAAACTGTAAAATAAACTGAGAGAGAGGAAGTAAGTGTTCCACCCAGGGCTGAGGAATCCACGTCCCTCGGAGGTACTTCAGTCTCGCCTGAGAGCTGATGCCACAAGCCCCTCGTAAGCAGGAGACGACAGGGCTGGACAGGGGCAAAAACTAGTTTTGTTGTTGAGAGACGGTATCTGTACCTTCAGACGTACATCTACACCACCACCACCCCCCGCCCCCGTCTGTCTTGTAGCCTTTCTCCGCTGTTCCGTGATTTTAAGGAGACGGTTTCATCTTTGCTGATGATGTTCAGATGAAAAGCAGTGGCAGTTGGGGAACTTGAACTCAAGTAAGAAAGTATTTCGTCTGTCACAGCGCGCTTTTTCCAGATGATTTTTATTTGCATTAACAGTAGCGCTGATACCGAGCGCTGACTAATCATGCTTAAGTCTTAAAGAAAGCCGTAATTTGGGTTTCAAGGTCATGAGACGAACCAAGCAAGCAGCGTTGTTGCATGCATGTTTCTAGTTCCGTATCGGGACTTTAGTGCTTCCCCGTAGCTGTAGGGGCTATAGGCTGATGGGCCTAGAACAAGAGCGAGGAATTACTTATTTGAAGTTTTTAAAAGATTCCAAGGTACTGCTTTGATGTAAGCTAAATTAACAAAAATTGGAAGCGACATTTTTAACGTAGAATTTGAAGCATGTATTTGAATTGTGGTGACAGCTTAGTGAAACTGCAGGAGAAGTAACTGCACCACGTGCTCAGCAATCCTGATCGTGGCACGGGTTAACCTTGCCACCAATTTCCTGCGTCAGCCGCTTCACGGGTGGTTGCGTGATGGAGGTGTAGAATCCCGGTTCTCCTGCAGCTGCTTTTTGGCACCTTGGCAAACACAGTTAGGCTTTTGAAAGGGTTTCAAAAGTCAGGTTTCCATCTGAGGACGTTAACGGGTACCGCTGACAATACGTTGGAACGTTCTGCCTGCCGGGCAGAGCTTTGCTCACACAACAGTAACCGTACAGGCAGGGGGAGATACTGGTTCTGGCTGAGCAAAGCAATTCTGGAGCAAAAGTGCAGATGTCCTCATAGTAATAACGCTGCGCTGGTACCGATTTGGCTGGTTTACCTGTGGAGATGTTGTCACTCTCTTGTCATGAATCTCAGAACATCAATGATACAGCTACATCTGTATGCTACTGGGATCTTCGTATGCGTGTAGAACTTCAAGTGTAAACTTCTGCGTGTAAAGCTGCAAGTTTAATGAGGCAGCGAAAAGCATCTTATCTAGCGATATCTAACAACCCAAAACCACAGGTACGGAGATCACGGCACGGGGTCAGAA